GCAGTTTCCAATCCGGCCACTTCTGACACTACTTCTTTCTTGGCCACTATGCTGTTCTACACGGAATTTAATTTGAAGCTGTGAAACGTAAGAACGCGTCCAAATTTTTTATTTTTCGCCGTGTCTACAGTGAAAGAGAAATATTTTTTGTCAAACGATGGAATATCTCCCGTGGGGCTTTCTGTGCACTTTTTCCGAAGGAACTCTGTAACAATGCTGTCTGTGATACTGCATATCACGGCCAACTAGACGAGTTTAGATCTCACTCCTCTCTCTTCCCAACAACCAACAACTGTACTAAGCTCATACAACATCCAGAGGACCGTGGCATAGCGGATAGCACTTTGCAATGCTGCTGCTGTAGCGGGTTTAAGTCTGTGCATTATTCAAAGTCCCTTGTTCTACAAAATGAATCTGAGGGAAGATTGAGAATGGGAAAGTTGTAAAAGCCCAGGCGCTTAATATGGATACTAGTGTCCGCGTGACAATTCATTCGCTGTTAGCCTCTGAGCTTGAATTAAGTGACATGCTAATTACAGTTCAACACCAGCTTACTGCAATTATATTGATTACTAAAAGTAATGTAAACGTAAAGTTGTTCCTGTGCTTCGTTATACATGTATATATGTGAGGGAGTTGAGACGTAGCTCCATCATTTTTGACCTCGGCAATAGACGGACGTGAGTAGCCAGTTTCACGCATAGACCATTTTACCCCTTGGCAAACAGCCCCTAGTACCCAATGGACAGGAGACTGGTTAGGTCCCAGAACCGGTGTGAACGATATGGAGAGAGAAATATCTTGTCCCTGCCGGGGATCGAAGCTAGACCTTCTAGATCCATTATGAATATAAACTCAGAATTAGGCCGCGCCATAGCTCAAGCGGTTAGTCGCTGGCTTCCCACCGCGGTGCCCGGGTTCGATCCCGGTTCTGGTCAAGTGGGATTTGTGGTGGGCAAAGTGGCGCTGTGGCGGTTTTTCTAGGAGTACTTCGGTTTCACCTGCACAATCTTCATTCCACCAATTGCTCCACAATCACCCTCACCTATCATCTGGGGCTGGTACAATAGGCCAGAAGTGGCCGCAGTGCAAGGGACTTAGCCCCACCCCACTAGCAGTAAAAAGAAAACTCGAAATATGTCCTGAGTAGTCCGGATAATAACGTATATCTAATAGCGATCCCCTTTACAATGCTAAACAAAAATTTAGTTGTACAGAGATATTTCAACTGTAGAAGGTGTCTCTCGAAAATTTTAGTTATCCAACTGATCGCGAAAATTCTTCAAAACGAAACTGAACTTTAATTATAAACATAAAGGAAGCTCATAATCAGCTATCCAGATGTCGTGGAGGAAATACACGACTCATTTTACGACGCGATTCACTTCGGTTGGTTACACAGCTAACGTCAGCACAACGATTTCTGGTGCATTACGTTGTCTTACGTAACTTACAGAATAAATCAAATTCAGGAGCAAGCTCTTTGTTAGAAAACAAGTTTAAAATCTTAACAGATGTATGTCTTCCGAGCCTTGGTTTCCGAGATAGACATTCCCACAAAATGGTCTAATTTACTCCTCAGTAGTGGTATTTTTCATGACGGTACTTAGCCCATTGTTAAGTGTATTGGTTGAGGCACTATGGTACAAGCTGGAAGGTCTCGGGTTTGAGTCTCAATGAGATGGATTTCTTTTTCAATTGACCTAATCCTTCCAACCGCACTATGGCCCTGGTGTCGACTCATCCTCTGACAGAAATGAGTATGAGGAATCTTCCTGGGTGATAAAGGGCGGCCGGCTCGTAAGGCTGACAATATTACCACCATGTGTGAGTCGATTGTCTAGAAAATGTGGGAACCTTGACTTCTCAAAACCTATTGGCCTCCATGGTCTGTTACAGGGATAGCTTTACCTCACCTTCACTCAAGACACACACTGCACAACAGGGACCAGTTATGATCGAATGTTTGCTGTACGGGATCGCGCGCTCTGTTATCCTAGTCGAAGTCTGCCAGACTCTGTTGTGTTTCGACGATGGAGCAGCGTCTCCAGAGACAGGGAGTGTAACGCCTACAACACACGTGAATGCAGGTCGCCTAAGGACTTCACGGACATCAGCAAATGAAGATGACATAATTGCAGCTATGGAACAAAAGCCGTGGGGAAGCTCGCGTGTTATCTCACGAGAATGGGGCTACTCAACTGAGGGTCCTCGACGTGCTCCATGACAGTCAGTTCCACCCATACAACAACTACAGGAGCCCACATCTACTAGATATTTCCAGACGATTGCCTTCTACAAATGCAGTTGTGCGAATTGCTAGTACGTCGACACACTGCAGAAGAGCGCTTTTTAAAACAACATTCTGTGCAGTGATGAATCATACGTTACGTGTGAGCATGTGTACAACGTCTGTAACAGCGACCTCTGGGAACTGGATAATCTTCAAGCTATTCGCGAACAAGTGTATTAAGAGTCCGTGTTTGGGATGGAATCGTCGACAACATTGTCTCGGGTCCCTTTCTGTGCTACCTGACAGCCTGGATGCTCCTCAATGTCGTATTTCCGTAAACTGGTCTGCCTGGCTGAAGCCGTGACTCTAGCTCTGAGGCAGAGTTCGTGGTTTCAGCTACTAATATTTAATAAATGGTTTAAACACAGGAAGTAAATAGACATACCGGTAGTTGAGTTTTAGGGATGAGTTATTTCCGTGATGAGAAAGAAAGGCTTCTACCACTAGAAGTGAGTCGTAAACAATGGAAACTTTGGCTTATGTGCAGACTCTGAGATCGAGAAACATATCTTCTAATACGTATGCATTAGTCATTAGCGCATTCTATTGACAGAGCATTGAAAGCAGTGCAAGAATGCAACAAATATAAGTATTAAGCATCGCTATAACGATTTAAATTACGTAAATCCTCGTGTTATATTCAATTTCCAACGAAGTCAATTTTATGGATTTCCCTGATTCATGAACAGTTATGAAACCATTAAACCTTAAACCCTTAGTAGGCCTCTTTTGATGGAGTGACTGATTCTAATAACTCCATGTAGCACAATTCTTCCTGAGAAGCTAACTCTCGCTTAGCTAATCTAGAAATATCCAGCACTTTAGGGAAGTCAGTAGCCGAAAATTTATTTCCGTTTTCAGAGCAGTCCACCACTGGTCCGTATATTGAGCAACATAAATCCAGTCTACAAAAAATTTTATACTATTAATATTTTATTATGTGTTATTGGTATTATTTTCCCAAATATGCTGACACTTCTCACGCGGTGTTCTCCCTTCAAGTTTCAAAAAGATATTTGTATTTATTACCTCGTCCATACGTGCTACATGTTCCTTCCACTCATCCTCCTCGAATTTCCCAACTCAACATTATTTTATGAAAAATAAAATAGTGGAAACATTAATGAAGGAATAGAATTTGTGTTGACTACGCTGTAAGGACTTCAGTTTGTCAATACCGAATGTTCTTCCGATTGTTTAAACTCTGTAGTGATCGTGTCAGTGCAATAGTAATTGTGTTGAGTTACAGTCCGTATGAAAGAATCGGAAATGGGAGACATGTCTGATTTTTAAGCGGCCAGATTTTGGTGCGCATTTCACTGGAGCCATATTATTAAGCATATTGAGAGAGACGGTATCTAGGGCTATGTCAATATACAGGAATCATAGGAAGACAACATCATCCAAGAAGAACAGCGGGCGAAAATCAAAACTGACAGAAAGAAATTGTTGTACACTGAGAAAGACTGTTTCGAAAATAACAGGACTACTGCAGCACAGGTGCATTACAGCAGAACTGAATATTCATCTTGAAAACCTTGTTTCCACAAAATCTGTCCGACGAGAGGCTCAAAAATCCCGCTGAATACCCAGTGATTGAGATTAGCTTTTTGTAAGGGGCCCAATTTAGCAGGTGTCTTCCTTTCTCACCTGAAGACGGAAACAATCCAGTTTCCGAAACGTCGTGTCCTCTATGGCCTAAAATTCCGGACGATGGAAAAAGTCTAAACCCCAGTAATTCTGTGTGTCATCCACCATCGTCAGAACCCTTTAGAATCTAATTTTGTTTAAGCTAAGAATGAGATAAATATGCAAAGGAGAACATACCGACTTGAAGATTTCTGATAGACGTACTACCACAAGTTACAGAAAATTTACAGGACCTACAGCTTGAGGTGCTAGTGGAAACACTCACCACTCTGTCCCTTAGGTTCCTCCGTAGTACCACAAGTTACAGACAATTTACAGGGCCTATAGTTTGAGGTGCTAGTGGAAACACTCACCACTCTGTCCCTTAGGTTCCTCCGTAGTACCACAAGTTACAGACAATTTACAGGGCCTATAGTTTGAGGTGCTAGTGGAAACACTCACCACTCTGTCCCTTAGGTTCCTCCGTAGTACCACAAGTTACAGACAATTTACAGGGCCTACAGTTTGAGGTGCTAGTGGAAACACTCATCACTCTGTCCCTTAGGTTCCTCCGTAGTACCACAAGTTACAGACAATTTACAGGGCCTACAGTTTGAGGTGCTAGTGGAAACACTCATCACTCTGTCCCTTAGGTTCCTCCGTAGTACCACAAGTTACAGACAATTTACAGGGCCTACAGTTTGAGGTGCTAGTGGAAACACTCATCACTCTGTCCCTTAGGTTCCTCCGTAGTACCACAAGTTACAGACAATTTACAGGGCCTACAGTTTGAGGTGCTAGTGGAAACACTCATCACTCTGTCCCTTAGGTTCCTCCGTAGTACCACAAGTTACAGACAATTTACAGGGCCTACAGCTTGAGGTGCTAGTGGAAACACTCACCATTCTGTCCCTTAGGTTCCTCCGTAGTACCACAAGTTACAGGCTATTTACAGGACCTACAGTTTGAGGTGCTAGTGGAAACACTCATCTCTCTGTCCCTTAGGTTCCTCCGTAGTACCACAAGTTACAGGCTATTTACAGGACCTACAGTTTGAGGTGCTAGTGGAAACACTCACCACTCTGTCCCTTAGATTCCTCACTCTACAAGGCAAATATACAGGCTGGCCGACTAATGCCGTGACGCTCGACGTTGCTATTTCAAATTCTGGTGTCACTTTGTCGTCGTCCTGCTGGCTCCAGTCTCGGCTCGGATGACCCCAAGAGTACCCTGTGAACAAGATGACAGAGACAATTTACAGATAGATTACGTTGTCATCTTTGGCCTATCCGACAAGCATGGCAGTGGGGACAGAACGAATGCTTTCCGTTTGTCAGCAGAGTAAAATGACAGCGAAGCTGTGTATCCGGTGGGTAAAGTTGTCGCTTGTGTATCTAAGTCGCCCAGTACATTAATTGTTGAGATGCAAGAAGAGGAAGATTATTTCGGTATGCAGAAGACTGCTACTGTTTCCTCTTCAGAGCCGGATGAATTAATTCTACTACTTTACGATCCAATCTAGATCTATTTTAGATCATTTAACACTTTCCCATTTACGTCCATAACTTCAAAGCGTCATCATCCTTTCAATTTTCCGAATTATGCTCTTTTATGCATTATCATCACTCTCAGTCACGTTACCAGTCAAATTACATGCCCAGTCCATCTCGTCGTCCTTGATTTTACACGACCATATTCGTTGGTGAAGAATACCACTGCCGAATTTACCGTTATAGGAGGCCTCTATATCAGTGTCAATAAATTTAGTTTTTGGCGATGATATTTTGTTCTTATTTTTTATATTAACTAATAATATAAACTAAATTTTCGCGATTTCAGTGAAGCAAGTGTCCTAGTATAATTTGTAGATTTATTTCTGTTTTGTAGAGTCCCCGTTGGCTACCCCTTAAATAAGGGTCCGAATTCTCTTCAGTGTCCTGTTCTCAGACACACTCGAGATATGCTTTTCTCTTAATGTTCGAAAGCGCTAATTTGAGTCGTCTTACACGCACTAATTCTACCAATTTTGAAATATGTTACTTTTCACATGCCTAGTACATTCTCAGTGGAAATGTTGGCATTAAGTTACGAAAGGAATTATTCAAATTCAAATGTTATGAAGGGAAATAAAAAAGTAGTCATATTTTATACGCGATATAACCTGCAAGTTAGTTTCATGTGTGGGTGTCCCTAATGGGACATTCCAGTACGCTCTCCAAGAAAGCAGACTTCCTCAAACGTAGCATATCATCTTCAGAATATACTCAGGGGAAAGAATGGCAGTAGTTCAAATGAAAATGGCGTACCAGACGTTGTATATCCTGTGTGTAAAACACACATACAGACGCGCGAGCGCGCACACACACATGAAAACATTTCTGGAAAATTCCGGATTTCACTTCTGGTTGAAAAAAAAATGCTGGATTTTGAAGTTGATGAGAGCTTCAGTTGAAAAAGGCGGAGGGGGGAGTTGATGGCTGTGTGGAAGGGAGAAGTACCCATGCATTGAGCCGGAGTCTCCGTATTGTCGAAAGGATTCCAAGCCATTCTGAAGAGCGTCACTCTGGTGTAGGAGCCATGGACGTGTCCTCACGTAGATACTGATTTAGTTACAAATGGCTCAAGACCATAATCATATGCTTATGTTAATAAATCAGTGTTTAATAATTCTATAGCTTAAGGAGAACGAGGCAGGATAGCGTAGTAGTTAGAGCGACTTGCTACGAACTGGATGACTGAGGGTTCGGGGTTCGAGTTCCGGTAGAGTCAACAAATTTCTCTTCTCCACGTCATCCAGACTGGCTCTGGGGTCCACCCAACCTAATATCCAATAAGTATTGGGGATTCTTTCTGGCAGGTAAAGCGGCCGGGGAGTGAAACTGACTGCTCACCTCCAACTTGTGTCAAGGTTAAGAAAATGTGTATTTATACATCCACTCCCCCATACTACTTTAAGTCATTGTGTTCAATTAGTTAAGCACAAGGACACCTTTACTTTTAAGGAGGAGAAAGATAGATTTTAACTCCTGTCGTACGTAACTAACTAGTTAATTAGTACATTAACTAAGTGATTACAAAGATGAAAATTTTTCTTGACAACATACGAGATATTTAGCTTCAAGAAATTCTCCACCCCATATGAATAACTCATTAATGTGTCTGCATATGCCTCTCTCAGGACCTGTTCTCATTCAGTCACATTTATCTAGGCCACCGCCCCCCATCCTAATCATTAAGTTACATTTAATTCAACCTTCCCCTATATACGTTGGTCTTCAAAATAATCTCTTCCCCGGGGCCTCCTCGACCTCAGTTTAGAATGTTTTCTCATTTTTCCCACATGTGTTACATTACCTGCGCATCCCATTTTCCTTCACGTGATCATGCAAATAATAAAGAGCGAAAAATACTGATCGTGAAACTCTGTCCCCAGCTTCCTCTTCTGAAGTATCCGAAATGCACTTCTACATTCTCTCCTCAGTGTGTGAAGCCAAGTTTGACACCAATACATAACATTTTATTCTAATAAAAATAAACCTTATAATGAGACATTTCGATTGGTACACTTCATATAAATTGTTAAAGAACAAGACAAACTTCAAGTTTAATGTAGTTTGTTACACTTCATCCTTATACTATTCTTTAACAATTAAAAACAGAGAGTTTATGGTTTAGTCTGTGTGCTGCAAGATTGAAAACTCTAAGACTAAATGCACTGGGACCGATTAGATTTAAGCTCTAACTGATTTAATCATTTAACATGTGCCACATGATTTAACACAGTAACACTCTGCGTTCTGTCCACAGAATATGTGCAGTATATGTGTGTCATCTTGTTCTCACTATACACGGCAATTGCTTCCAGTTTATCTCTGTAGCTGAGAAGTAATATTTTTTCGAAATTTGCTATATTATTTAGAAATTCAGTCCTTAAAGGGTTAATTCCATTTCATTTTTTCCAGGAATTTAATTATTTGTTATCGCTTAATCATATTTTAACTTTGCCTCGCTTTTAAGTGTTTATTAGTTATTTTTATTCTTCAAAATTTTCCTGAATTCTAGTGAGAAGGCATGCAATTTTACTTATTATTCTCTGCATTTATTTCTAGACCGTAACCTTCTCTGGCGTCTTATAGAACCTATATATTTCTTTTCATTATATGTAGTTGGTTTAGGGGCTATTCTACAAGCTAGAAGGTCGCGGGTTCAACCCCCGATGAGGTCATTGGATTTTTTTCTCAGTTGACCTAATCCTTCCAGCCGCACTATGGCCCTGGGGTTGACTCAGCCTCTAACAAAAATGAGTACCATGAATTAATTAATAATTTTCCTGGAGAGTAAAGAGCGCCCGGCGCGTAGGGCTGACAATCTTACCGCCATCTTTGAGCCGACTGTCTAGATAATGTGGGACCCTCGATGTCTCACATCCCTAGGGGCTTTCACGGCCTGTTACAGGGATAGCTTTACTTGATATATATATATATAGGCCATGTTATTACCCACTAAATGAAAGGCCTCCCCACCAAAACTCTGGTCTATGACACTTGCTGTCCCGGAATTCTCGAACATCGCCATCGTAAGTTTGCAACTACGTACCTCTGAGTATGTCCGTATGACTTGTTTTCTGTGTCGCGTTTCTCTGTGTATTACGTAGATCTTGAGCTGGTCCACAAGGCCTGGTTCTTATCTTAGTACTTATATATATATATATATATATGTCATGCCCCACCGAACTAACCCTCCTTGATTTGATGATCCGTAGTAATAATTTGAGAAGTGTACAAATTATATAGCTGTTCATTAAGCATTTTTCTCCAGCCCCCAGTTACTTTCTCCCTTTTAGGTCCAGATACTCTCCTCAGCATCATGTTCCCGCTTAAATGAAGTAAATATTACAGCAAGGAAAGATAAATTCGTACACATACACACAAGAACTAAGGGTCATTAGAAGGAAGAACATTTTTGTGGTCAAGAGAATAGGACGCGTCCTAATAGGAACATAAATCTGCAGGATATTCACAGCTGTTACAGCATTGCGCTGATAATGAGGAGGAAGAGTGTCCCAAAGTAAGAACTGACTCCCAACATACTTTCTGTAGAAGAAAGTACAATAAGAACGATTTAATGCAGTATACAGCTGAACCCATCTTGTAAGTTAATTCCTGGTTAACACGCCACAGCTGAACACTGAACTATTGGACTACCTTCTGAATTCTGTTACGACTAAATGCCTAATCACGGCTCATTTGCGACTGAATTACGACGAATGACGAAAGAAGAATGAATGCGTTCTCGAGTCGAGTCTTATGTTCCGACCGACCGTCAGTCGACCAGTCTGTCTTGGAATAAAACACCAATCTAGGGCTTACAACCAGACTTTTAATACTGTCAAATAGTAGCGGCTTTGTTGATGTGGGGAGCTCTCATTGACGAGAGGACGGGTCTGTCGTTTATAATTGTTGCTAGTCCTCGCCAGCACAGTTATTCTCGGGTCCGAGTCCTGTGGGACTTGCTACCATGTTTTACTGCCTCAGATTCGAACCTACCCTTTTTGTTGCCTCCTACGACTCGCAAGGCTACGGTGATGGTATTTGACCCCACCTTCACACGGGATTGATTCTCTCCGGATAGGGCCCTTCCTTAAATAGGTTCGCTTCGACTGTTTAGTGCACATCTGGGCATACCGTTCTATTACTGCGTTGTTTTGATTTGAATGCGTTCTTCTTGGCACGGCTACATGTATAGTCTAGAGTGACCACAAAGAAAGTTTCCTGCTTGTCCGCTGATATGGGAACGCGTTCCGTACCAAGTCGATCTCGGCCGCGACATAGCTCAAGCGGTTAGTCGCTGGCTTCCCACTGCGGCGGCCCGGGTTCGATCCTGGGCCTGGTCAAGTGGGATTTGTGGTGGACAAAGTGGCGCGGGGGCAGGATTTCTCCGAGTACTTCTGTTTCCCCTGCCAATCTTCATTCCACCAATTGCTCCACAATCACCCTCACCTATCATCTGGGGCTGGTACAATAGGCCAGAAGTGGCCGCAGTACAAGGGACTTAGTCCCACCCCACTAGCAATAAAAGATCGATCTCCAGGAAACGCGTGTTAATTTCATAGCAACACTTAGTTTTCAAAAGCCTATCCGTTGCAGTGGATACGTGCCTAAAGAACCTTTGTCTAGTAGTGAATTATTCCGGCTTTCAGGCGTCATATCACAATAATATTAAAACAGATT